AGTGCTTTCCTCCCAGACAATGAAGTCAGGTCTTCATGCTAATGCAGGCAGTAAATCTACCCACTGAGCCATCTCAAAAATGTTCTCTATTAACCATAGGGGTTTTGGAGGACTGAGGACAGGTAGAGAGGCAGGAAGTAGTAGTGGAGTTAGAGAGGGTCTTGGATTTGGGGATAGAGAAATGATGTTAGGAGGTCACTGGTCACTTCTCTACTGCTTCTCTGATCATTCAGATACTTACTCTGATATATGACTCCTGAGTTTTTATTGATAAGGAATAATTAGATAAATATATCAGTGCACTATGATTAAAGAGATTTCAGATTGATTATACAGTCAAGAAGTCAGGGGTGGCTCAAGCCTCTCATTTCGGTATGAGATGGGTTGGTGCAGCCAGAAAATAGGTAATTTAAGACCCACCTGTTATCAAGGAAAACCTGTATCCAGAAAATAAATATTACAAATAAAAACTAAAGACTGGTAAAAAAAAAAAAAGTACATTATGTTAATCTGTACTTCATTGATCACTGGTGAGCCTGCACGTTTTTCATTCTAAGACATTTTGTCATTGTTCATTAGTAAAGAATCTTGTTTTTCCTGGAAACAGTTGAATAATAGTTTAGGAAAGTATGCCTAATAACCCAGCATTACACACGTTTTTAACAGTGGAGAATGTTACTTGTCCATGTCAGAATCTGATACCAATTGAATGATGGTAGCTTTGTCAATAACAAGATGATTTTCCATGACTGGGAAAGTAAAATATTTTTTAAATTATAAAATTGTAGCATTGGAGAACAAATCTTCATTTGTCAGTGTTTCTGGTTGAGGTGTGTGGCTTCAGAAATAGTATGAGATGCTTCTGGGCAGGCAGGATAGCACAATTGTGCATCTTGAATGTTATCAGTAGTTACAGAAGAAAAGGATCAACACTCCCTTCCCCCAAAAAGGAGTGGATATACAGAAAACTGACGAAATCCGAGTACAGTTCTGTAGCTCATAGTACTAGTATCACTTTCCTGGTTTTGATCATTGAACTGTAGTGATACAGTAAAGTGCACTGTTATTACTGGGGGAAACTGGGCAAAGGGATTCACAGAAACTCCATGTACTATTTTTTCAACTCCTGTATGTCTAAAATATTTTACAACTTAAAAAAAAATCTTTTAATTTAAGTACAATTCAGTTCTTTTGTTACCCTAGCCACATTTGAAGTATCCCCATGTGGCAAACTACAGGCATATCAGATAGTATAAAGTATTTCCATCAACTTTGGAAGTTCTGTTGGATAGTATATATTCTTTGATTTATTTCTAATTCTAATAAAACATGAATTTTTCCATGCTACTTTATTAACCAGTTGTTTGGCTACTATTCAGGCCTAAGGAAAACATTTTGTTTATTTTCTGAAATTTCTCAAAAAAATACTTGGGTTTTTGTTGTTGTTGTTATTGTTAGTTTAAGAAGTAATCTGACATATGTTTTAATATATATTGGGCATTTAAATTTTCTAGTACTTATGTATTTTGATTAATACAGATTAACTATATTAGGAAATACTCCTGATATATCCCATATAGTTATGTGATAGCTCTCAACATTATTAGTTTATCCTTGTATCCTTATTCAGCATTCTTTAAAAATTGTAGATTTATAACTGGGTATGGTGCTGAACACCTATAATCCCCAGCACTTGGGAGGCTGAGGCAAGACAACTGTAATAAGTTTGAGCTAGCTTGGGCTATATAGTACCAGGCCAGCCAGGGCTATATAGCAACACCCTGTCTCATTCCCCTCAAAAAAATTAGGTTTCTAAAAAGGCATTTCATTCTTAATGCTTGACATTATTTCTTTCTTAATTTTTTTTTGTTTTTTTAAATGTATATTGTGTGTCTGTGTGAGTATATGCCATGTGTGTACAGGTGCCCCCAGAGGCCAATAGATGGCATCATATCTCCTAGAACTGGAGTTACAGGGAGCTGTGAACTGTCTGATGTGGTTGCTGGGAACTGAACTCAGGTACTCTGGAAGAACAGTGAGTGTTCTTAGCCATTGAGTCATCTCTTGCCCCAACTTGATGCTATTTCTGTGCTCTGTGTTTGGGCTGTTTGGGCTGTATGTCTTTTGAAAAGGTAATCCCTTTCATTGCTGTGTTTAGCTTTTGTTCCATGACACTTTTTATGGTTGGCTACTTTATAGCTTTCCCTAATTACTGGACACCTCTGTCACTGTGGAACTTCTTTCTGCATCAGCTCTATCCAGTCTGAATCTATCTAGTTTTATATAAGCCACCTGAAATGCTGAAGACAAGTTGAGGATGAGGCAGTAGGTAGTTCAAACTCCATTCACATAGCAACTAATTTAAGACACAGAGAAACAAAATTTCTCTAGGGCTAGGGAGCAAGGTGTGATGGCATACTCCTATAATCCCAGCACTTGAGAGGCAGAGGCAGGAGAATTGCTGCAAGTTGGAAGCCAGCCAGGGCTACACAGTGAGACCCATTCAGATCCACCTAAAGAAAACCATGAAGAGAAAGGTGATAGAATATTAAAATTAACATTTATGTCTTCCATGTGGAAAATCCAAGCATCATGATGATATCAGTGTTCCTTCCAAATGATAAATTTATTATATTTGTCGTTAAATTATAGGAAAATTTCTTGAAATTGACAGTTCAACAGTTTATCTAGAATACAATCAAAGAATATTTAGAAGATAAAGAATCAGAAATTATGGATGTAGGTTGTATCTCAAGTTATCAAAACTTTAATATTAATTATAATAGTATAGTACTGGTACAAAAACAGTGACCTTAGATCCGAAGAACCAGCAGTTAATACTGTAACCACCATGGGATTTCAACACAAGAAAGATTTCTTTCATGACATGGTAGTGAATGCCTATAATCCCAGCACACAGGAGACAAAGGCAGAGAAGTTTGAGGCCAGCTTATACTACATAGTAAGACACTGTCTCAGAACAACTATTCTTTTACATTAATTGTTTCTATAGTCACTAAATTTCCAATACCTAAATAAGTAAAGGATAATAATAGACAGCCTACCAAAAAACAAATAAATGAAGTAAGTACAGTAGTTTTATAGGAGTAAAGAAATAAAATATGAACACATTCTTTGTTTTTAAATGGGTAAAGATTTTTATTATTAAAATGCCAGTAGTGCTGGGCATAATGGAGCATGCCTTTAATGCCAACACTCACAAGGCAGAAGCAGGTAGATTTCTGTGAGTTCAATGCCAGCCCAGTCTACATATCATGTTCCATTCTAGCCATAGCTACATAGTAACACCCTGTCTCAAAACAAACAATCACCAATGACAGTGATGGTCCCGTGAAATTTATATTCTCCTTCACTGCTATATTTAGCTTTCCTATCATTGCCTTAATGTACTGTTCTTGATTCATCCCTATTACACATTCAGTGGTTCAGCAAATCATGTTGACTATACCTTTGAAATAGATACATCTAAACATCTGCTGCACTGTTACTATATTGGTCCTAACTTCCCAGCATTCCTGCCTGGCCACTTGCAATCCTATTTATTTCCCTGTTGCTTTCCTTGACTTCTATGTGCCTGAAAGTAACATCCAAAATCATTAGTTTAAAATGTGACTTATCGGGTCATTTCTCCATTCACTGTTCATCAGTTGTGTCCTGGTGTTCTCAGAGGTAGAACAATTCCATTATAGAGGTCTATGGCTCATGCCTGATTAGACTCCACCTTTCCTTTCTGACCTTACCTCTTATACTGTTCTTGCTTTCTGTGCTTCAGCCACATTAATCTCCTTATCCTTGTAGTAAATCAAATATGATCCCAACTTAGGACCTTTGCACTTAAGTTTTAACTGCTTGATATGATTTACCTGGTAATACCTTTTTGGCCTGCTCCCTCTTCTTTGCTTAGCTGTTAATAAAGTTGCCACTGATTTCTCTTTTAAACACCCTTATATTTTTCTGAATCCTTACCCTGATTGATTTTCCCCACAACACATATCTAATGAATTATATGTTTATTTACATGTTACTCTTTTTCCAACTAGATTTTCACCTCAGTAAGGTCAAGGCTGTTTTTTTGTTCACTGCTATAACCCCCAGCACTTAGAGCCAATGATACAGTAGGCATTTTGTGTTTTGTGATTAAATAGCATTGACAGAATGTTTTTGGAAAGCTACTACTGTAGATTTTACAAGCTGTTTTTTAAGTAAGGATAATTAAAGAAGTCTTATGCAGATGGTAAAAAAGAGAGAAAGAAATATACATGAAGCAGGGTCCAAGAATACGGGACCAATAGCAGTAATGAAGATTGTTTGTCTGTGTGTGAGAACAGAGAAGATGATAGGAGAATAATTCCCAACTGTAGAGGAACTTTCAAAATTAGGAGTAGGCCCCAAGTGCTACCAGGCTTTGAGAAGAGAAAGGTTGACAGAAGCAGAAGGTTGGTGCAGGAAGCAGTAGAAAATGTGGGGATAGGTGGCTTAGAAACATGTCAGAGGGCTTGAAAGTGGATCAGAAAACTATTCTTGATCCATGAAGAGAACAAACAATAGTGTTCATTCTTTTTTTTTTGGTTTTTCAAGACAGGGTTTCTCTGTGTAGTTTTGCGCCTTTCCTGGAACTCACTCTGTAGCCCAGGATGGCCTCGAACTCACAGAGATCCACCTGGCTCTGCCTCCCAAGTGCTGGGATTAAAGGCGTGCACCACCACCACCCTGCAATAGTGTTCATTCTTGAGCCATGAAGATGAGACAACTGTCTAGATATAAACTTGTTACTGTCATATACAGAGGTAAGAAGAGTAATATAGGAATTATCAGTTAGGCATATACAAGAAAGCAGAATTGAGGTACTACTTAAAGTACTGAGTATAGAATGTAAAAAAACAAAGGCCTATATTAAATATCAGCAGCAAGTTATATGATGGAGAATAGAGATCATTGATTAACTGCATGTGTTTAATTATTTTCTTCTTTTATTATAGGTTTCTCTATTGTTCACAGAAAAAATGGATCACTTAAGGATGTGGGGGACTCAGCTATCACAATACTCCTGTACCACCAACTAAGATTTATATGACAGTTTATGGCAATAAATTTTCATAATATGGAACCACTGAAGAATTAAAAGAAGATATTCTTTCATAAAAATAATGCTATAGTATCAAGTTACTAAATAAAACTAAAATATATAATATTTAAATTATTAGACTTGCTAATGTAAGCATACATGTGCAGCAGCTACTGTATACTGATAGTTACCAAACCTCAAATTTAAAGATTTCCTTTCATGGAAAAATTACTATATTTTGCGAGAAGCCACTGAACATTGTCATTAAATATTTTTTCAGAGAAATATCATTTCAAGAAACAAAGTCTATAAAGTCCTACCACTAAGTGAATTTGATATTATGGCAGCAACTTACAGACTTGTAGTTAGCACCGTGAACCATTATAGTAGCGTGCTGATAGACAGGCGTTTTGAACAAGCCATACATTATTGCACTGGAACCTGCCACACCTTCACACATGGAGTAGACTGCATTGTGGTGCATCATAGTGTTTGTGCAGACCTCTTGCATATCCCTGTGTCTCAGTTCAAAGATGTAGATCTGAACAATGTGTTTTTGCCCCATGAAAATGGGCTTTCCTCAGCTGAAGACTATCACCATCAGGCCCTCACAGGCATACCCAGGGCCAAGAAAGCATCTACATTTCAGAATACCTGTAACTTAAAGGATATTGCAGGAGAAGCAATCAGCTTTGCCAGTGGGAAAATAAAAGAATTTTCCCTTGAAAGACTCAGAAATTCAAACCATGCAGCTTACAAAAAAGGAAGGAAAGTTAAATCTGACTCATTTAATAGGAGGTCAGTTGATTTTGACTTACTCTGTGGCCATTATAATAATGATGGGACCTCTCCATCCTTTGGCTTACTCCGGAGTTCCTCAGTTGAGGAAAAATCTTTATCTCATAGAAATTCATTTGATACAAACCTGACTTCCATGCTTCTTCAGAACTTTTCTGAAGAAGACCTAGTTACTCAGATTTTGGAAAAACATAAAATAGATCATTTTTCTTCTGGGACAGACATAAAAATGTGCTTGGACATCTTACTGAAATGCTCTGAAGATTTGAAAAAATGTACAGACATCATAAAACAATGCATAAAGAAAAAGTCAGGAGCTAGCATCAATGAAGGAAATGGCAATGATGCAATTTCTAACTCTGAAACTGTCTATATGAATGTCATGACCAGGCTAGCATACTACCTGAGAAAGTTACCATTTGAATTTATGCAGTCTGGGAATAATGAGGCCATAGATTTAACAGAACTTGTCAGTAATATACCTAACTTACAACTGACTCCATTCTCCCCAATATATGGGACTGAACAGCCCCCTAAATATGAAGATGTTGTCCACCTATCAGCCCTTGACTCTGGACAGTTTCAGACTGTTGAATTGCAAGATGACAAGCATAATTTTAAACAAGCAGACACAGTAAAAGCCACTCCAAACAACACAAATTCCTTGTGTAGCTTGGAGGTAAACAATCCTGAAACTCTAAAACCTGTGCAGCTTCAATCACCATCATTAACCATGAACCCTATAGAAAATGTTTCTTCTAGTAACTTAATGGAAACTCTTTATATTGAAGAAGAATTAGATGGGAAGAAGTCATTATTAGATAAAAGACAGAAAACAGAGAATGGACAAGGTCAAGGTCTGCTAAAGGTAAATGAACATAAAGAATTTTCAGACCATGATACTCATCTTAAAAAATGTCCTGCCTCAGTGCAAAATGAAATTGGTAAGATATTTGAAAAGGCAACGATGGTTCATCCACCTAAGGAAGAATCTAAATTAGAAGTTCCTACCATTGAACTAAAAGGCCAGAGACACTTTATGAATCCTAATAGTCAAGAAGAGATAGACAAACTGTTAATGGATTTGGAATCATTTTCACAGAAGATGGAGACCTCTCTTGGAGAACCACTTGCCAAGGGTAAAAGCATCAGTTCTCTAAACAGTCATAGTCATTTGACTGGTCAAATCCATGAAGATCTTGAGCCTAAACCTATAGTCTCCTCGCCTGCAGAAAAAGTCTCACCTTCGTGTCTAACAAGGATTATTGAAAACAATGGACACAAAATAGAGGAAGAAGACCGAGCCCTCTTACTTCGGATTCTGGAAAGCATCGAAGACTTTGCTCAAGAACTAGTTGAATGCAAATCAGGCAGAGGAAGCCTATCACAAGAAAAGGAAATGATGCAGATTCTACAGGAAACCTTGACAACTTCCTCCCAGGCCAGTCCATCTGCCTGTAGGAGCTCTGTTGGTGAGAAGGCCAAAGATAGTACTTCAGTTGTTTTGATTCAGCAGACACCAGAAGTGATCAAGGTAAGAGCCAAAAATCATGAGTCCTGAGAATTCTTCAAATACATATTTTATTGTTTGTAAAGTGTATAAACTGAAAATAATTTTGTTAGCCATTTCAAGTTCTATGCTAGGAATGATCTCAGTTCAGTCGAAAAGAAGCAAAGGATTTGAATTAAGCGGATTGTTTTCATCTGTCCTGTTCATGCACTTCATCTTCCTTCTAGGTTCTGTGACTAACAGAAAGTCACTTAGCCTTAGTATATATCCATGTATGTAAAGAATTAATATATTCATGTACAACACGAGCAGTGAAATATGACACATAGAGTAGATAATTTAATATTAATCATCCTTCCTAGGTAACCAAGAAACCAGTCCTTCACATGTGTGCATGCTTCTGTAAGGTGAAGGATAGGGTACAAAAGACAAGAGAGCCTGAATTTATTTTATTTTTATTTATTTATTTTTATTTTTTTTGGTTTTCTGAGACAGGATTTTTCTGTGTAGCCTTGGCTGTCCTTGAACTAACAGAGATCCACCTGCCTCTGCCTCCCAAGTAATAGGATTAAAGGCGTGTGCCACCACTGCCCAGCTAGAGCCTGATTCTTAAAGAGCTGAAAATCTAGCTGATGAGACAATAATGTTCCTGAACAGTATTTAAGCATGTAAACAAAGCACTGTCAGTGCAGCAGGCCTTCAAAGAAAACGTGTGTGAGGTTTGTTTCTCTGTGCAAGTAAGAATAAACAACAATCTAGAACCAAAGACGTGTTTTCCAAAGGTTTTTCACTTTACCTCTAATTACTTTACTGATTGTGAACACTTGGAGAAAGACAGTTATCTAACCATTTGTGTAGATGAGTTTGTCAGTGAAGCAAGATTCTTCTTTCTCAGAATGTCCAGGGGTTAAGCAAGGGGCTCTGCCACTCCACTTAAGGACTCAGTTTGAAGCCTCCACGTTCTTGATAGCCTATTGTACAACCTGGAATATATAGACTATGTAGCCTGTGAGTTCACTAAGAAGAAAAAAAGAATGGTGTTTTAACTATCTGTCCCAAATATGACAGACTTTAAATTGACTCATAATCTACTGCTCCTGACCAAAAGTCCATGACATGTAAAAAAGCACATCAACTATTTGCTAAACCTAGTATCTACTATGTGGAGATTATAAATGTCAGCATGCATTCATTCACAGATATAAAGCCAAATTAGTTAAAGTAAGTTATAAAATATATGAATTATCTTGAAATGCACAAATTTGTACCAAAAAGAGGAGGAAGTACAGGGATACAACAAATACAATGTTCAGAAAAATAGCCGTGGAGCAGGGAAAAAGGTACAACCAGGGAAAATGGGCAGAAGGCCTCAGTAGTTTACGTAATGTCATCTTTCTACTCTGGGTTGTAAGTAGTTTCTCATGTTACTTATGCCATTTGTATATTCCTAAACATTATGTAATTTTTAAAAGTTGAATTTTAGAGATGCCAAATTAAAAAATAAAGGCATAATGGCTTTTGCCTTTAATCCCAGCACTCAGGAGGCAGAGTCTGGTGAACTCTGTGAGTTCAAGGACAGCCTGATCTACATAATGACTTCCAGGGCAGCCAGAGATACATAGTCAGACCCTGTTCTGAAATAAAAAATAAATAAATAAACAAACAAACAAAGAGTTAAATATTATTTTAGCCTTGTTAAAATTTTTGTTTGAGGGCAAGATGAGTCAGAGAGTCAAGGCACTTTCCATGCAAGACTTAGTTCAATCCCTGGGTCCCGGGGAAAGGAGAGAACTAACTCCACAAGTTGTCCTCTCACGCCTGCACACATGTGCCCACACAGACACATCATGCACACACGTACACAATAATAATATATAATTTTAAAGGATTTTTAATTTTTTGTTTATTTTTGAGACAAGGTCTCATTATATAGCCTTGGCTGGCCTGGAAATTACTATGTAAACCATGGTGGCCTGGAACTCATAGATTCTACCTGCCTCTGCCCCCTGAGTGCTGGGATTACAGACCATGCTATATCACCCAGCAAGGTTTTAATTTTAAATGTGCATGTTTGTACATGTGATTACAATGCCTGCAGAAGCCAGAAGAGACTGTTGGCTCTGGTGGAGTTGGAGTTACAGGCACTTGTAAGCTGCTCAGTGTCAGTGCTGGGCACTAAACTTGAGTCCTTTGGAAAAGTGTATGCATTCTTAATTACTGAGCCATCTATCCAGCCCAATATATAATTTTAAAGCTTCATTTGTTCTGGGCATTGTGGTCCAGTTTTTTAATCTCAGAATTAAGAGGTAGAAGCAAGAGAACCATGAGTTCAAGGCTCATGGAATACATAGTGTGGGATATATAGTGAGTTGAAGACTAGCCTGAACTCCCTAAAAGACCTTGTCTCAAGAAGACATAACTTGATATAGCCATGGATATAGCTCAGTGATAGAGAACACTCATCTATCATGTAATACCCAACAGCAGTGGGACATGAGGGAGATTATTTAATAAAACAAAGTGAACTATGATCAGATGAGAATTTCTACCTGGTACACATTTATGGCCATTGTTCTATGTACTTCTTTAATTGCCAGAAACATTACATTTTAAAACAGTATATAGTACATACTTAGTTATTAAATGATTATTTTGCTCAGGTGTTCACTGGACATTTATGGAAACTCTGGATCTCATTTGTTGATTCACAAATGTTGATAATGTTAGTTTTAGAGAAAAAGCCCAACTCACAGTCCCAAGGGACCTGGTCTATCCACTATTTTCAGAATTCAATTCAAGAGATGACAGTGGTGAAGATAGGAAGTTTCATAAAAGCACTGTGGCCATCCCAGGAGAAAGAGGACAGTGACCTAAGACCTGTCTTCAGCGAATTGACAGCTTTTACATTCCAGAAAAGGGAACAGAGGCAAAGGTTAAAGGTTCACATAACTGGGGGTTTGAACAGCTTAGCAAAGCAAGCAGTCTTGGGTAATCCATGGTCACGTGGATCATTATCCCTAGATGGTAAGCTATGCTTTTGGGTCACAAGGAAAGTTGCTGTTGTCTGTGGGGGTAGTTCCAGTTTTTCTCATGGGATATTTATCTATCAGATCATTTCCTCCTGCATACAAGGTGATTGCAGGAAAGAAAACCAGGGCGGAATTAATTCTTTCGGGTTTAGAGCAAAGACTGGAGATGTCCAGATACTACATCCAGTCTTAGTTGCTCTTATTTGGTATATTGGGGGTGGGAGAGGATTAGCAGCTTCAGATAGACATTCCTTAAATGACTTACATATCTATGTTCAGAGTTGAGCAAGAATCTGACCCAAATTTTAGTGTAGCAAAAGAAATAGGTTCAAAAGAACACCAAGTTTTTAATCTTTCTTTGTGTCATACACACCCAAATGAAGAGTCAGTGATTTTAGCAAGTATAGCCTCTAAGTTCCTATTATAATGTTTTTAATCTTTCTTTGTGTCATACACACCCAAATGAAGAGTCAGTGATTTTAGCAAGTATAGCCTCTAAGTTCCTATTATAATATCTTCAGTTAAGTTGGGTCATCACTGGGAGAGAAACTGAATAAATTCATTAGAAAACTAAAAAAAAAATTTATTTGTTAGAGTACAAACAAAATATCACCACATCCCATGAATTGTTTTAAGACAGGAATTGGCTGCCTTTTTCTATGAAATACCAGATAGTTAATATTTTAGACTTTGTATTCAAGGCAATACTGACATGCTTAACATGTTATAAAGGACAAAAAAAAACTTATGTAGTAACCTCAGAATATTAATGATTTCCTAAGAGCTACAGTTATTGTAAACTAAGCTTGCTAAGACATTTGGATATATTTTTTCAATAATCTGCCTACTGAGTGGAAAATGTCCACCCTCTCTGATGACCTATTATAATTTCTCACAACCATTATAACCAGAAACTTATTGTGGTACCACATTTTGAATGTTTATTAAGCTTTCTTCCTACGTTGTCTCCTATGGAAAAAAGGAGACAATTAGGGAGTGGGTCCCTGTTAATACTCCCAGTCTTGGCAGTAGCTCCCTGGTGACATTCTCAATCTGATTCAACAGCTGACAATGCCACACCAGGTACTGAATGAGCTTCCTAGGGTTTTTGTTTTGTTTTGTTTACAAATGTGAACTGAAGTCGGAATGTGATTTAAAATATCATCTCCCAACATTCTTTTAAATAAGTTTCTATATCAAAAAATAGAATAAAATTTGATGATAATTGCTTGATAAAAGTTGAAAAATATTAAAAGTTAAAGGGACATGGGCCGTGGTGGTGCACGCCTTTAATCACAGCACTAGGGAGGCAGAGGCAGGTGGATCTCTGTGAGTTCAAGGCCAGCCTGGTCTCCAGAGCAAGTTCCAGGAAAGGCGCAAAGCTACACAGAGAAACCCTGTCTTGAAAAACCAAAAAAAAAAAAAAGTTAAAGGGACAAATAATATGAGATGTTTCATACAGGAAGATGGCTTTGTGCAAGAGGCCATATCTCCATGCTTTAGTGATTGTCCTTTCTCATTTCATCTTTTCTTCCCCTTGTTATTGGAATCTTAATTGGTCTTATAATAAAAACCCGGAGCCAGATATTGGTGTAAATGCTGAAAGATCAGAGAGACAAAGGAACAAGCCACTAGAGAAACTTCTCACCATTACGGAATCCTCAGGCTGAAAGGGAGGCGAGATCCTATCTCCACAAATCCTCAGACTGAGTGCCTCTGAGTCCTCAGGTGAAAGGGCTGAGTTCCTGTCTCTTCCCACCTTATATGCCTTTCTCTGCCCAGCCATTCCACTTCCTGTCTCAACCTTCCTAGTGCTAGGATTAATAGCGTGTGTGCTTCCCAAATACTAGGAGCAAAGGCATGAGATCCCAAGTGCTGGGATTAAAGGTGTGTGCCACCACTGCCTGGCTTCTATGTTTAATCTAGTGGCTGGCTCTGTCTTCTGATCTTCAGGCAAATTTTATTTGTTAGAGTACAAACAAAATATCACCACAT